AGCGCCCGTGACTGCGCCGGGCGCCCTGGGCACCGTGCCTCCCGGGCTGTCCGCCGCGGACGGTGGCCGCAGGAGGCAGTGGACTCGGGTGTCCACCCGCCCCGCCTTGCCTCGTCACCGCGGCCACCGGTCATTTCACGTCCACCCGGGACCGCGTCTGTAAAGTCGCCCTCACTTGACAGGCAGGGAAACTGAGGCCCGGAGGGGGGAGGGGGCCTCGCTCAAGGTCACGCAGTTCTTCCGCGGCCAGGCCTGGCCAGGCGCCTGAGCCCGGGGCGCCCATCGGGTGGCCTCCCTCCTGGGAAGGTGGAAGGGAGGAGCGGTTGGATGGACAGGCGGCTGGGCGGAGCCCCGGCGAGGTGGCCAGTGCCCCGGCCCAGAGTCCTAACCTGTCCCGCCTCTCAGGTCTGCTACCGCTGCTACCGCCCCCCCTGCCGCCCCAGCTGGGGAGGGTGGCCCCCCTGCGCCCCCTCCAAACCTCACCAGTAACCGGAGACTGCAGCAGACCCAGGCCCAGGTGGATGAGGTGAGTATGCGGGTGTCCAAGCCAGGAGGGAGGGCCCTAGGGGCTAGCAAACAGGTGTGGGGACAATGCCATGCCATGCCCACCTTTGTCATTGTGTTACCTGCAAGGGCTCTGGCTTGTCAATCACCTGTATCAGCCTGGGGCAGGTGTGCTCTGGTGATGGGCTGGCTCCCTGAGGCTGCATAGATTGAAGGGCTGCTGCTATGTTATCTGGGGTGGGGGTGGGGGTGTCTAGCTACTAGCAAGCCCCTGATGTGTGCTACTACGTGCCCGTCCTCAGGTGTGCTGGACACGTTCTGTGTGCCCGTAGCATGTTAGCCTGACCGCATTGGGGGTGCCTGTGCCATAAGTCGTGCCCTCCCTGAGGCAGCCCTCAGCGCGCGCGCACACACCCACCCACACACACACACACCCACCCACCCACACACACACCCTCCTTCTTCGGCCCCTCCCTCAGGTGGTCGACATCATGAGGGTGAACGTGGACAAAGTCCTGGAGCGGGACCAGAAGCTCTCGGAGCTGGACGACCGTGCAGACGCGCTCCAGGCGGGGGCCTCCCAGTTTGAAACAAGTGCAGCTAAGCTCAAACGCAAATACTGGTGGAAAAATCTCAAGGTAAGGCTGGGGCCCAGCCGGAGGGCAGTCAGGAGGACAGTGGGTGCCTGGGAGCCAGTAAGGCAGTCTGTCTTACTGAGCACCCTCCACCTTTGTCTCTAGATGATGATCATCTTGGGAGTGATTTGCGCTATCATCCTCATCATCATCATCGGTGAGTGGGGAGGGCCAGGGCCCTTTCTCTCAGGAGGTTTCCCCCGGTGGAATCTGGGCTTTTGAAGTTCGTTGACCTTGTTATTATTAGTCAGCAGAGAGCATAGATAGTTGCCAGTAGTACTTCCTGGTTGATCTAGATTGGACAGCCTCAACCCTGGTGCTGTATAGTTTGCACTCTGCCTGGCTCTGGGCAGTTTTGGGAAACAGGAGAGCTGGTAGACACCCACTGCTCTCCTGAAGACCCTTTGGGTCTGAAAGCCAGGCTGGGTACCATGGAGCGAGAGCAAGAGACCAGAGATGAGAAGCCACCCGTTCTACTGTCTGAGAACGTGTGGACTTGACAGCCTAGAGGACTAAGGGTCTGCAGCTCCAGGACCATGCCTGCTGGGTTGCAGGGACCCCACAGCTGACCTCTTCAGCCCTGTGGCTCTGACAGATGGAGACCCTGGAGGCCCAGAGAGGGGACAGAACATCAGCCAGTGGTGGTGTGGGGAGGACGGGGAGCAGGGCCAGGCCTGACACACTGCTTTCTCTCTCTGTTTCTCTCTCTCTCTCTCTCTCTGTGCCCCATTCACACCCCCTCTGCCTCCTCCTCTCTCCCTCTCTCCACAGTTTACTTCAGCACTTAAACCCCTGAGGAGCCTGCCCTGCCCAGAGAGGGGCCACTCCCCCCCACCCCCAGCCGCTCCTCCACCTCTCAGCCATATCTTCCAGCCCCCACTTCCCTGGATCCGTGTGTGTCCGTCCATGTGTGTATGTGTGTGTGTGTATGTGTGTGTGTGTCCCTTTGTAAATAGCCAGCTGTTATTTATACATATATAATATTATATATATTTGGTCTGTTTGTAGTTTTATTACTAGAAGATTTTTTCCGGTTGTCCTTAACACACTCCTTCCTGAGGTTCCCACCCCTCCTCCCCCTCCTGGCCTTCCCCTCTCTTCCTGAGCAGCCTCTAGTCCCTTCATTTGCATCTGCTATGCAATAGACCCTCTTCCTGGCTGATCCTCCCTCCTGCCCTGGCCTCCCACTCACCCTGAACCCAGCCCACCCCTCCCCTCAAATAAAAAATCACCTGCCCAGGCCTCCCTGGGTGCATTTCCTTGGCATTCAGTGGGAGGCTCTGAGACTGGCCCCACTTGGTCCTAAGAATCCCAGGTCTTCTGGGAGTTTCCAGCATGTTGATTAGCATATCATTTGCATACTGACATCTCTTTGGGGGTTCCTTCTTTTGTTTGTCCCATCACTCTTCACTTCTCACCACCTGTGTTGTTTTACCCAGGAGTCCCCATTGGTCCTTGTGACACACTTTTATTTGCACGACATCACTTGCAGGTGGTGGGGAGCCTGGGCTTTTGGGGAACCAGGCTGTCCTGGTCCCTCAGAATTGCCACCTCCTTGTCCACCTCACCCATCTAGTCCAGTTTACCTCCCTTGTCCCCATTTTCCACACCTGCCACCTCTTCTCCCTACTCCCCAGCTGGTGTGTAAGTGTGTTGGAGTTCAGTGTGTTATGATGGACCAATAATTCTGCCACTCGGGGTCTCTCCCCACATTCCTGTGCCCCAGTTTTCATGTGGGGTGCTCAACTGACATTCCCATGGGGTCTCCCTCCCTCCCGTCTGCCTGATTGCCTCCTCCTCCCACCAGGAGATTGGGTGTGTGTGGCCACAATCTGATCTCTTTGGGAGGAGTGGCTACCAGTGTTGGGGGGGCTATCACTGCCTTGGGGAGGCATGGGGCAAGGCAGGGAATTCCCCCAATTCCTGCCTGAAACCCTCTCTAGCCCAACCCCTGCTGGGGGTCGGACTGAAAACCTTTCCTCTGGGAGGTTATGGCTCCCATCACTGCCCAGTTCCTCTGACTGCCCCCCTGAATTCAGGGTGGGAGTACTAGTCACTGCCAATGTGTATGTGAGACTGGCTGGAAAATGGGGGCCCCTGTCCTAGAGTCCAGAGAGTGGTCCCTTCTGTAGGTGAACTGGTAGATGAAGAGTCAGATGTCTTTTTAAATGGCACAATTCTAAAGGTCTGAGGGTGCAGTCCCTTAACCTGCCACTAGAGGGGACCCCCCCCCAAACGCTCTTTCTTCCCCACACACTTGAGGTTTTCTGTGTGGTGGGGGAGCAGGGACATCTAAGCTGTGGTGTGAAACGGTAGGGAGAGATGCTGGGGGTGGGGGCACTGTGTTCTAGACCCCCCATATTATCCCAGTGTCCCCTGCCCCCTCTCCCCCCATTCTGTGCCCCCAATTCTGTGGCGCATCCAGATTGTGAAAATGTACAATAAATGTGTGATGAGTAATCAGGTGGTGTCTGCTCAAGATCTTTGCTTAACCAGGGGAAGGGTTTGGGACCCACAGTTATAACCTGGAAGACTGAGAAAAAGGACTTAGCTTTGCAGGAACGCAGGCCTGACCTTGGGCAGTGCAAAGTGTGGTTCCTGAAGTAGCCACTGGGTGGGGCACTAGGAGTGTGTAATTGGGAAGAAGTGTTCCTGACAGCAGCTTGCCTAATCCTGGTGAAGCTCCCTGTCTGTCTGGAGCATGCTTCCCCAGTTTAATCCCAGGTGCTCGGCAGTCACTCTTGGGACCACTCAAGTAGTCTACCAGCTCATTTGATGAGTTCCTGATTTGTATCTAGCCACGGGCCAGCACCCAGCACCAAACCATACCCCTCCATTCCAGTCGATTCTGCTCATCACGACTAGAGGGCAGATAGAACTAACTGCTCCACAGGATTTCCAACACGGTATCTTTAGGAAACAGACTGTCTCTTGGAGCAACTAGCTCAGTGGTTCTCAACCTTCCTAATGCCGCCACCCTTGAATACAGTTCCTCATGTTGTGGTGACCCCCCCAACCATAAAGTTATTTTCGTTGCTACTTCATGACTGTCATTTTGCTACTGTGATGAATCGGGTGACCCCTGTGAAAGGGTCGTTCAACTCCCCAAAGGGGTCGTGACCCACAGGTTGAGAACCGCTTAACTAGTGGGTTTAACTGGCTTGGCCTGGCTTAACTCATCTCACTACCAGGGCTCCCAGAGGGTTTAACAAACCCTTGTTAAAATGATCAGCTTAGGGAGATGCCCCACCCCTTACGTGTCATGGGAGCTGGCTGTAGAGGGCCAGGGCCTGCCACCCCGGTGCCCTGTGTTATCTGACTAGTGACTCTAGACCCCAAGTCCAACTCTCTTAGCCTTCAGGTCCATGACACCCCTATCCAGTGTGGTACCCCATCATTCCTTAGGCACAACAACAGTGGACAGAAGATGCTCGGTGAGTTCTAGAAACCCAGCATTGTGAAGTCTAGATCTTTCCCAAACTTGCCAGCGCCTAAGAACTATCCCCAGGGTGCTTTGTAAAATTCAGATTTTCAAGGCCCCTCCCTGGAGGTTCTGATTCAGAGATCCTAACAAAGGGGCCCAGGTGCTTTCTTGGTACACAGTCATAACATCCACCACGGATTTGTCTGTCTTTCCTTCACCCAAGTTCATAGGAAAGGGCTTCAAAAAAGCTCACAGAAAGAAATCCATTATCTTTTAATTCAGTTTTTCCATGAACTTGTCTTTTTAAATTAAAAACTAAAACAACTTTAAGATGAGTCAAAAAGGAAGTCAATTGATAAAAGCATTCCCTTTTTTACCTAACTCCATCTGCTGTAATTGACTTAATAATGCCCTCTGTCTGACAGCAAGGATATGGTCAAGGGGGAGTCACCAGAAAGTCCACATGGGGACCTTACAAATGGATTTGGGGGCTTGCATGTCATCCATAGCCTTCTGCAAACCAAGTGTTTACAAGTTAAGCTCTGATACTATGCCCTCCTTCAGGTTTGGATTTTATAAACGTTTGAAGCCACCTCATAGGATAAGTCTGTCAACCTTCCTAATGCCGCAAACCTTATATACAGTTCCTCTTAAAATTATTTTCGTGACTCCATCACTGTCATTTTGCTACTGTTATGAATTGGGCGACCCCTGTGAAAAAGTCGTTTGACCCCCAAAGACATGAAGACCCACAGGTTGATGGCCTCTGCTCTAGTTAGTAATTAGCCCTTTCCCTCCCACTCCTGATTACCATCAAGATGGTTTCTTTTCCCATGTAAACCTTGTCTTGTGTAAGACCCTCATACACTGCTGGTGGGACTGTAAAATAGTGAACCACTGTGGACAATAGTACGGTGCTTCCCTGACAAGTTAGATATAGAAATACCGTATGATCCAGAAATCCTAATACTTGGTATATATCCTGGAGAACTAAGAGGCCTGACACAAATGTACACATGTACACCCACTATCCTTGTAGAGCTATTCATACTAGCACAAAGGCAGTGAAAACCTTTGCCCATCAATGATAGATACACAACAGAATACGATGCAACTTAAATGATGAATCTGTGATTCATAACAGATGATCCTGGAGGACATGTAAATGACAAATGTATGTGGGCACTTTTTGCGGTCACTATAATACAATGTAAAGAAAAGGTTTTCGCACCAAAAGAAACGCCCAGCATTCATTGAGAGCTTACTAGATGCCAGGCACCTCTCAGGACTTTCTGAGGTCATCATCTAGATGCCTTCCAGGTTTTAGGGTTCCGTAAGTCCTATGAATTCGCCTTCTCTATGGAATCGGGTGTGGGTTCAAATCGCACCACGATTTAGCGTGTTACTTAGGGCGGATTATGTCACTCCTTGGAATCTCAGTCTCTTCTTCATTTGTGAGACAGTGGGCAGTAAACAAGGCAGCTTTTGAGTTGCGAGAAGCGCCTGACCCGGCCCACAGACAGCGCTTAATCAGAAGGACGCTATCATCTTTGCCGTCTTCAAGCGAGCAGTGCTGAGATCTCTAGACGGCTTCACCCTAGTGCTCGCACCCTACGGATCCTTGGGCTGGAGCTCCAGCACAGGGTGGTGGTGGTGGGAAGCGCGCGGACGGTGGGATGGGGGTCCCCCTGCACGTCGCCTTTTCCCCTAGTGCCCGCGCCTTCCGCCCACCCTGCTGCCGCTGTCCGGTGCGCCTGCGCGCTGGTCGCGCCTCCGCGCCTGCGCACACTACGAGGGCCCCGGGTGAGCGTTTCGTCAAGGAAAATCCCCAGCTTCTAGGTAAACAAGCTGCCGCGTGAGCCCGCCGGCACGTGTCCCCTACAGCCCCGAGACCCCTCAGCCTATGAGAAAGTCTGGAATGCTAGACTGACATTTCCATCACCTATCGAGGCCCGTCCGGGGACTGTTTCCGCAGCCAATGGTAACTTCGGAAGTGGAGAGGCGCCGGGTTTCCGGTCAGACGTCCAATGAACGCTGGGGGGCGGTCCTTCCCGCACGTGGAGCAGTCACTGTCCTTGGGCGTTGGAACCAATCAGAAGATGACACTGGCCTGCGGGGCCAATGGAGGCCGACCGGGGGCCGGGCGGCCGCACGCGGCACGGGGCATGGGTCGGCGTCCCCAGGCCAATAAGCTCGGGGGGCGTGGCGACCTGCCGCGGGGCGGGGCTGCGGGGCCCGTGCTGGGCGGCTGCGGTTCTTCCTGAGGGGACTTCACTCTGGGGCTGTCGAGCGGTGAGTGTCTGGGGACGGGGCCTGCGGCCGTGGGCCCTGGTGTTTTCCACGGGGCGGAGTTCGGTCTCGAGGGGTGTTCACGGAGCGAGGAGAGCCGGGTGACCACTGAGAAGGGAACGCTCGTTTGTTGGTTTGGGAGCATGGGAGTCGCAAACTCGATCGCTCTGGCGGAAGAGGGTGGGCTCTTTTATTGGGATCGCTGCACCCGGGGGAGGCCTCGGAATCCTTTGCGCCGCGGAGCGAGCTCGGGTGCCCGCTCCCCGAGAGGCACGGAGACGACGTGCGAGCAGCTGGTGGGGCGCACCAGTGCGTAGCGGCTGTTGGGAGCCGCGCCCACGCACCTGAAAGACGCTGGCGTTCTGGTCGAGTAGGGTGCAGGCTCTCAGAGGGTGGGCCTGGTGACTTGGGAAAGAATGGTGTGACTCCGAGTGCCTGCATGTTTTTGTCAGGTGTAAAAGCGAGGAATTGGATCCCTTGGGAGTAGAGGTGGGAGAGCAACTGTGGGCTCCTGAGAGCCGGGACGGGGCTCGGGTCTGTGCAGATTGCCTTGTGCACACGTCTACCTGATTGATCCCCCTGGGTGTGGGAAGGCACCTATAGGGTGCTCTGGTATCCGTTGGCAAAAGCCACCAAGTTTGTGGTGGTCAAGTGGCCTGGGGTGGAGTGAGAGAATGAGGAATTGAGGTTCCTAGGAACCCTGGTGGCGTCGTGGCTACGTGTTCGGCCGCCAACCACAAGGTCAGTAGTTCAAAACGACGAGGTGTTTCGTCTGTCTATTCCCCTAGGCAGTGACAGGCCCGGGAAACCGAGCAGTTCTGTCCGGTCCTACAGGCGAATGACTGTGAAACGACTTGGTGTTAGGGAAAACATTGAGGCTGTTAGCTGCTGGGATGACCCCAAGGACTTTGTGAGCACGTGGGGACCCAGGAGGTGGTTTCAGAGGTGTGAGGAGTGCAAAGTGAGTGTGGAGGTGGGGCATGAGGAGGAGAATGGGATTGTTCCAGGCACCCAACTAGACATTAACTTGAACTTTAGAGCAGTAGGTCCCCTAGTGTTGGGGTGCAGCGACGAGGTTGGATAATCGCTCAGGTTTCTGGAGAGCAAAAAGCCAGGTGCCCACCTTCAGAACTCAGATTTGAACTCCAGGTTAATTTTGGTAGGAGTCTGAGAACCTAGCATTTAGGAGGCAGCTTCTGTAGTCATCTGCGGGAGAACGGGGGTGCTAAGGGAGTTAAATTAAGCAATGTAAAGTGTTTAGCACGAAGCCTGGGTCATTTTAAAAAAGAAAGGAACTGTAGCTTGAAAGGATGGCTCTCTGGCTGTACTCTCCTTTCCGACAAAGCCACAGTGCCAGGGTGAGGTATGGGAATGCCGTGGCTGGGAACTATTCGCACATTCTCAAGTCCTCGGCGCATCTCCCTCCCCACTTCACTCTTCCTCGTCTTCCAGCAGCAGCTCAAGTGCCCTCCTTCTACCTCCCATTCCTCTCCCAGGACCCAGGCCCTCAGCTGGGCCACTGCGGCCGCCGTTCGATTTCCCATCCTAAACCCATTCGTCTTCTTCCTGCCCCTCCCCCTCGGCTGCCATGGTAACACGAGCTTCTAGCCCCGTTGGGGACCGCAGGGAAGGAGCTAAGGTACGAGGTCTCTCGAGGAACCTGGGTTTACAACTTCCCCTCCCTGACCTTCGGGCCCCCGGCCAGCAGATGTGTACAATTTGGGCGCGGAGGGAAGCCAGGGCCCGAAGCTGCAGGAACCAGAGAATGAGCCAGTGTGAGTGTTGAGGGGAGCGGGGAGGAGCCCCTTCCTCTCCTAATCGTCTCTCCAGGAATCACTGGCTTTGGGACAGGAAGGCTGTTTGTGGGCTGGGGGAGGCGCCCAGGCCGGGTGCATGTCCTGGGCCACCAGCCAAAAGAACACGATGTTCCTAAGTGCGCTGGCCGCCGCCCTCTCTGGCTGGCCGCCTCCCAAACCGCTGCCGCTCCAGGCTCCCTGCCCCACATTCCCGGCTGCCGCGCCCCGCCTCCTTCCTCCGCTTTGACATCACCACGGTCTCCCGCCCCTCTTCCATTGACGGCAGCTGGCTGGGCCTGGTTACTGTGGGGACCGTGAGGCAGGACAATCAAGGCTTTGGGCTGCTGCTAGGGCGTTTGACCCTTTCTTTCTTGCCTTAGCAGAAGATAGATATATGGAGGTGTTGGACGAGCCAGGCGTGGGGAAAGATCTTATCTAGATCCCTGAGGAGAACTGAAGAGGAAGTAAAAGAAGGTATCTAGAGAAAGGTCTGAAAATGTGGCAAGGACCGGGGACTACAGTCGAGAGAGAGCAGCCAGTATGTGAAGGGACAGGAATCTTTCCAAAGACAGGACAGTGAGCATTTCAACTCATCCGCCTTTTGTGGGCTGTGTTTGTTGCTTCTTCCTTTCTGGGTTATTCTATAACATCTCTGCCTCCCAGCCTTTTACTGACCCCTCCTCTAAGACCCACCCCATGGGAAACACCATTGGTCAGGCCTGCTTAAGCCACGTGACAGTAAGGGGCAGGTGCCCACTGCTGATTATGTCAGCTGGGGGCCTCTTCCCTTGCCACCCACATGCAGGGAGCCCCGCTCTTGAGTCTGCCGACTAAGGTGGAGTGCCTGGTGGGTTTGAACTGCCAGGGTTGTGGTTAGCTGCCCAAATACTTGATCTGCTGCACCACCAGGGGTATCTCTACTTGTCACAGTCTTGGAACTCGGTCAAGTGCAGCCCTCCTCGGCCCTTCACTCACCCCAGTCAAAGTCCTGTTCCCTTTCTAGGTCTCAGTGTTGTGCTCCCCGCATGAAAAAAAAAAAAACCCCACCCTTCACCCATCTCCTTGTTAGGGACAACATGCTCACCTACCATGTGCCAAGCCGACCTAGGTGCTGGGGACACTAGGGATGAGGCAAGTAGGCCTCTGCTACAGCAAGCTGAGCCCTGGTGGCACAGTGGGTAATGTGATGGGCTACTTAGGGTCAGCAAGGTCAGCAGCTCAAAACCACTGCCTGCTCCGTGGGAGAAAGATGAGGTTTTTCACTCCTATGGGGGCAGTCTGTCTGTCTTTCCCTATGGGGTCACTCTGAGTCGGGATCTACTCAATGGCAGTAAGTTTTGATCATGAGTCCTGCACTTGGCATTCTCCCTTAGCCCTGGGGATATGCAGCCCATTTCACCCTTTCCTGTAAAGCCTTCTCCCAGGTGCCCCATCATTTGGAAAGCTGGCCTCCCCTCAATTGGGGGCCAGCCCTAACTGGGTGGCCACATCCTGAGAAGAAGGCCTACCCTTACGCAGTCTGACCTTTGCTCAGACTGGCCACAGAGCTCTTGCGATGGTTTCCTTTCATGGGCTCCATTACTATGACTGCCCTTTCACTGTTGGCCCCCAGGCAGCACGCGGCCCTTCAGTTGCCCTCCTCCCAGTTGGGGGCAGGACTTGAAGTATCGGAGGCAGGAGCTGTTTTGTCAAAAGGGGCGCCTTCATTACGATGACAAGGTTTAGGAGGGGGAGACTCAGGAAAGGCCAAGCCAGGTTGCTGCCTCTTGCCCCACTTCCCCTCATGCCCACCTCCCGGGGTATGAATACTTCCCCACCCTGGCAAGACCCAGGGGCCCTGTTCTGCAAGGCTAGTCAGTTCAGGAACTAGACCCTCTTTGAGCAGCACTGGGCTATTTTCCCTGAAGAGAAGCCACCTGCCTTTCCTCCCTTCCCCACCCATTATTCCTGCGCCTATTGGCTGGGCGGTGTCTGGGGCCCTTCCGCCTGGTGCCAGCACCCAGATCCACGTGCGCCTGTGTGTGTGTGACACAGCCCTGACCTCAGTGGCAGCCCGGAGCCAATCAGGCGCTCGGATGGAATCCCTAGCCAAACGGGGGCGGGGTCTGTGGCGCTGCCGGCAGGGGGCCAATGGGGGCAGTGCCTGGCATTATGCAACCCGCCTCCCTGCCCCACGGAGCTTGCACTCCGCCGTGAGCAGGACCCGCGGCGGGCAGGCGGCCCGAGGGCGCTCCTGAGTCCAGGTAGGCATCTCCTTGGCCACATTGGAGTCAGACCCCGTCTCGGCGTGGGGCTGGCTTACTCGGTCTTTGCCCACCTCCTCCCCACCCCGAACTGGGAGTCAGCGTCCTGACCAGCTTACCTTTCCTACAACTTTACTCTCCCGGACCCACCTCTGCCCCCATCCCCGGGACCCCAACCCTCCAGTTCCCACGCCCGACCCTCTGCGGGCATGCCCGGAAATCTTCCTCGTCGCTCATCCGGCCCTGGGCTTTGCCCCACAGCAGGACCCCTTCAGGCTCTCGGAGCTCGCCCTCTTCCCCCGCCAGTCCCTGGCCCCGCGCCGGCTGTGATGTCAGCCCAATTCCGTCTGGAACATCCCGTTCCCGGCGCTACGCTGGTTCCTGATGTTGGCCGTGGCGCGGGGGTGTGGCTGCACAGGGAGCGGGGGTGGGGGTGTGCTGTGCGGCCTTTGCTCAGGTCTGGGTGCCTCTGCGTGGGGACGAGTGAGGCCAGGGGGTAGTCACAAAAGTAGGGGATTCAGGAATGGATTTCTTGTGACTTGGATGGCGTCCGTCTGGGGTTAGGAAGCCAATCGGGGCAGAGGCCAGCGAGCAAAAGCTGTGTAGTCCCAGAATGACTGAGAGCCAGGCTTGGGCTTTTCCAGGGGGAGAGGTGGCGATTGTTTTTGCCCGTGGGGCTCAGGGATGGCTTCCCCGGAACTCTAGGGCCCTCCAGGTATATGCTGGGGGTGGGCGTCTGCCAATGTAAGAATGGGGTCGCCCTACCGCTTCCGCCGGGAAATGGGGGAGGTTCCCCCCACCCACTATCCTGTGGTCTCTCCGGCAACCGCTGAGCTCAGCTGCTGACGTCGGTTTCCCTGGCGACCGGCAGCGGCGGAAGTGAGTGGTGGGGCAGGGGAATGTCAGCGCGCATGTGCAGCGGGGGTGGCACCGCCCCCCCCCCCAGTAAAATGAGCTCGGAGGCCTAAATATAGGAAGCGGTCTGCTCACCCTTTGCTCTGCGACATTAGAACGGCAGCAGAGCCAGGGCCTGATGAGGGCTGTTGGCTGGAACGGGTCCAGTCTGGGGCGCCTAACTGTAGACCCCCTAGGTAACTGCTTAGGCTCCGCGTTCCCAAGCCATGCCTGCAGGAGATGTGGGAGAAGGCCAAGAGGAGTTCCTTTCTCGCCTGCAGCCCACCTACGGGCTCGGGAAATAGACCCTGCCCAGGCTCCTTGTGGCAACAGGAATGGGAGACCAGGCCAAGGAGGGTACAAGCACAGTGAGAAGGTGCCATGAGTGTAGCAGCATCGTTTACTCCAAATCTGCCGCCCTGTCTCCCGCTCCAGGTACCTGCTGTGAACCAATTGCTGCATTCTCAGAGACCTAGGCTTCCCACCTCACCTCCCCAGCCAGGCCTCCTGGCCCCCAGTCTGCTCGTGGTGGCCTCCCCACCTGCCCTCTTCTCCTCCTGCCCTCCCCATGGCCTGGACATGAGTGGACCCCCAGAAGGGTCTGATAGGGGAGGGGACCCCAGGCCCGGGGATGCCTTTTGTTCCAGAGGGTCCCCCTCCCCTGGGCCCCCACAGCACCGGCCGTGCCCAGGCCCCAGCCTGGTGGATGACACCGATGCCAACAGCAATGGCTCCAGCGGCAATGAGTCCAACGGCCCTGAGTCCAGGGGTGCATCTCAGCGCAGCTCGCATAGTTCCTCGTCCGGCAATGGCAAGGACTCCGCCCTGCTGGAGACCACTGAAAGCAGCAAGAGGTATGTGGGGGGCTGTGCTGAGTGGGCGGGAGCGGGCTGTGTGCGGGGAGCCAGTCCTCATTGGACCCCTCGTTTCTCCTCCAGCACCAACTCTCAGAGCCCGTCCCCGCCCAGCAGCTCCATCGCCTACAGCCTCTTGAGTGCCAGCTCTGAGCAGGACAACCCATCCACCAGTGGCTGCAGGTGTGTGTGGCGAGGGTGTGAGGAGAGGGTGAGGGTGCTGGGCCGGGCTTGGGCTTGGGCTAATGCCTGTGTGTCGCCATTCACTGGGCCTTGCAGCAGTGAACAGTCAGCCAGGGCGAGGACCCAGAAGGAACTCATGACGGCACTGCGGGAGCTCAAGGTGCGGCTGCCGCCAGAGCACCGGGGCAAAGGCCGCTCCGGGACCCTGGCTACGCTGCAGTACGCGCTGGCCTGCGTCAAGCAGGTGCAGGGTGAGTGGTGCTTCTGTGAGGGCAGTGGCCAGGTGAGGGGCTGGGCTGGTGGCGGGGCTTCTCACTGGATGTGGCCCTCCACAGCCAACCAGGAGTACTACCAGCAGTGGAGCTTAGAGGAGGGCGAGCTGTGTGCCATGGACATGTCCACGTACACACTGGAGGAACTGGAGCACATCACGTCTGAGTACACGCTGCGTAACCAGGTCAGCAGCGACCCCCGCCCTATTCCTGTCTGCCCCCGCCCCCGCCCTGCCTCCTAAACCTACTCTTGCTCTCCACTTCCCACCCAGGACACCTTCTCGGTGGCAGTCTCCTTCCTGACGGGCCGCATTGTCTACATTTCGGAGCAGGCAGGTGTCCTGCTGCGTTGCAAGCAGGATGTGTTCCGGGGTGCCCGTTTCTCGGAGCTCCTGGCACCCCAGGATGTGGGTGTCTTCTATGGTTCCACGGCTCCCTCTCGCCTGCCCACCTGGGGCACTGGGGCCTCAGCAGGTGAGTGCTGGGGCCCTGAGGCAGAAGGGAGGAGCCGTCCCAGGAAGCAAAGCGGCTGTGAGAAGCCTGGGGTCTAGGCTCGCCCTTGCCTGGCTCCTCTCAGCCTGGGGAGGGAGAGGGGGCTGTGCTCATCACCCTCTTGGTCTGTCCAGGTTCAGGCCTCAAGGATTTCACACAGGAGAAGTCTGTCTTCTGTCGTATCAGGTAGGTGAGAGCAAGCCCCCTGCTCCCCATTTCCTTTGGCTCCTCAGTGGGCTCTGACCCTGGGACTGGGGGTGGGGGGCCAAGTTCCCCATTGAAAGTCCCTGATCCCTCGGTCTCCCTTGTCAGTGGCGGTCCTGACCGGGACCCAGGACCTCGGTACCAGCCATTTCGTCTCACTCCGTATGTGACCAAGGTCCGGGTCTCAGACGGGGCCCCTGCACAGCCCTGCTGTCTGCTCATTGCAGAGCGTATCCACTCAGGTTACGAAGGTGGGTGTTGGGTGTGGTGGGCCCAGGGCCGGCCTGGTGGGGGCGAGGGGTAAGGGATCCTCCTCTAAGCTGTGAGGAAGTTGGGAAGGAGCTAGGTCTGGGAAGCAGGCCCTAAGCCTTGGAATTTGGGGACCGAAGAGAGCATTTTGTGTGTGTGTGGGGGGCGGTTGGAGCCCCCTTAGATGTGCAGTTGGGTAAGCGCCGCGCAGAGTGTTTTGGTTGGCTCCTGCTTCGACCCCTGGTTTGCCACCTAGCAGTATGTGGCTTCTGGCTGTGGGCTGGGGGTGGAGGGCATTGCCAGTCAGCCTGGCATGGGGCAGTGCAAAGGCTAGAGCGGGGCACCATTCTGGACCTTCCCTAACTGTCACCTGCTCCGTGCCTCAGCCCCCCGCATCCCTCCTGAGAAAAGGATTTTCACCACCCGCCACACCCCCAGCTGCCTCTTCCAGGATGTGGACGAGAGGTGAGGGCAGGCCCTGGGGGGAGAGCGGGGCCTTAGCCAAGGATGATCCCTCCTCTGACACCCTCTTTCCTTTCAGGGCTGCCCCCCTGCTGGGCTACCTTCCCCAGGACCTCCTCGGGGCTCCTGTGCTGCTGTTCCTCCATCCCGAGGACCGGCCGCTCATGCTGGCCATCCACAAGAAGAGTGAGCTCCTCCCCCGCTCCCCTTTGCCGCTGGCCCTGGGCCTTCGGAGTGGCTGCCTTCGTGGGGGTGTCTAGGAGCTCTTGTGGGTGGCATCCCCCCACACCCACTTCTCCCACCTACTCACCCCCCACCTCACTTCCCACTCCCACCAGTCCTCCAGTTGGCGGGCCAGCCCTTTGACCACTCCCCGATTCGCTTCTGTGCCCGTAACGGGGAGTACGTCACCATGGACACCAGCTGGGCCGGCTTCGTGCACCCTTGGAGTCGCAAGGTGGCCTTTGTGTTGGGTCGTCACAAAGTACGCACGTAAGTGAGCTGGGCCTCCCTGCCAACCTGGCCCTGTGGGCGGAGGGGGTTCCCTCTGGGGGCGGGGGTAGAGCTGGTCTCACATGCCTCACCTCACAGGGCACCCCTCAACGAGGACGTGTTCACACCGCCGGCGCCCAGCCCCGCTCTGTCTCTGGACCCTGACATCCAGGAGCTCTCGGAGCAGATCCATCGGCTGTTGTTGCAGGTGAGGGCTGAGCAGAGAGAGCCGGGCAGAGGCAGGCCACAGAGCAAGGCCGCAGCGTTCTAAACCCCCGCCCTCCCTCTGCCTCAGCCTGTGCATAGCCTCAGCCCCACTGGGCTCAGTGCAGTCGGTCCTGTGACTTCCCCAGGCCCTCTCCTCAGCCCTGGCTCCTCCAGCGACAGCAACGGGGATGCTGAGGAGCCCAGGCCTCCTGCCCCGGTGAGTGAAGCTCTCTGAGCTCACCCTTTCACTCGACCATCCCTCCATCCCCCTATCCCATTCCTGCCTGCCTTTCTCTCCTTTGTCCGCCCCTTTGTGGCCCCATGCCCCTCACAGGTGCTTCCTCCTTGGCCCTGCTTCATGGCCAGACCTCCCGATGCTTCCTGTTGCCTCTGTCCCCGCAGGTGACCTTCCAGCAGATCTGTAAGGACGTGCATCTAGTGAAGCACCAGGGGCAGCAGCTTTTCATCGAGTCTCGGGCCCGGCCCCCCCGGCCCCGCCTCCCGGGTGAGTTGGTGAGACGTCCTTCCCAAGGGGTGAGGAGTGAGGTCTGACCTTCACCCAGGTCATTCAACTTTCCTCGCTTTGCCCAGCTACAGGCACCTTCAAGGTCAAGGCCCTTCCCTGTCAGCCCCCAGACCCAGAGCAGCAGGTGGCAGCTGCCCCCATCCATGCCCTGCTCGACTTGGCCCCTGAGGAGGCTGAGAAGAAAGCTGCCCCCACCTGCTCTTACCAGCAGATGAACTGCCTGGACAGCATCCTTCGGTAAGGCCAGCCTGGTGCCCGGCTTACCCCAGACCCTGCCCTCAGATCCCCGCCCCAGGCCCTGCCCTCATGCCAGTCTGGTGCACCTCCAGGTACCTGGAGAGCTGCAACATCCCCAGCACAACCAAGCGCAAGTGTGCCTCGTCCTCCTCCTGCACCTCCTCTGCCTCTGACGATGACAAGCAGAGGACAGGGCCCACCCCCGTGGGGGCCAAGAAAGGTAATGACCCAGGTGTGCCCTGTCCCCCCGCCCCACCCTGGCCAGGGGACCTAGTGTTTGCACACTTTGGCTTTTGGGGTCCCCACTGTGCTCTACCCTGCCCCCCTCCCCAGCCTCCCGATCTCGCCCACCCCCCAGCCCTTCCCCGTCTTTCCTTTGGCTATGGGGCGGTGACCGGCGCCGTCTCTCTGCACAGGTCCATCGGCGGCGGCGGCAGTGTTGTCTGGGGAGGGGGCCACCCCAGTGGCGGGAGGCCCCCTGAGCCCGCTCGCCCTGGCCAATAAGGCGGACAGCGTGGTGTCTGTCACCAGTCAGTGTAGCTTCAGCTCTACCATCGTCCATGTGGGAGACAAGAAGCCCCCGGAGTCGGGTATGGGCATGGAGTAAGGGGGGCAGTGCCCGGGCCTTCTCAGTCCCTCAGCCAGAGCCCCCTCCAGCTGCTGTTCCATCTCCCTCCAGCCCCTCTTGAAGAGAGGAGGCCGCCATCTAAGCTTGGGGCTGGGTCTTGCCCTCCACCCCCACCCATCCTTTGCTTCTCTGCCCTACCCTGTATCCATCCCGCTTCCTGTACCGCTGCCATCAGCTTAAACAGAATGCAGGTGGGGGGACTGCAGCCTCTCAAGCTGCTGGCCACAGGGATTTTGAAGGGAAGTCGAATGCCCTGGAAGGCCTTTGGGTATTGACTTCACCCTTCCAGCGGGAAGGGAGGTGCCATACCAGGGGACCGCCTGATAGGGTCACCACCACTAGAGGGGGCTCGAGGATCATCACTTAGCTCTTCCTGAGACAGCTTTGCTTGGAGGAAAGGACCGAGGGCTAGCCCTTGGCCAGGGGGCGGCCAAGAAATGAACTCGGTGCTCAGGGCCAGGGTCTGGGGCAGGAAGGGTTTGGTGTAGAAGCGTTGACCCCTGAGTGACCTGTCCCTCCCCTTCTCTTCCGCAGATATCCTTATGATGGAGGACCAGTCGGGCCTGGCCCCCAGCCCCTCGGTAGCCCCCGACCCAGCCCCAGATGCCTACCGCCCCGTGGGCCTGACCAAGGCAGTGCTGTCAATGCACACGCAGAAGGAGGAGTGGGCTTTCCTCAGCCGCTTCCGGGACCGTGGCCGGCTGCGTGTGCCCCACGGCTCCTCCGTAGCACCACCAGCTCCCAGCGAGCGAGGTAGCTCCCCAGGGCTTCCCTGAACCAGTGTCAGGATGCCGGGGGGTGGTGGTGGGGCGTAGGGGTGGGGGTGGGGGGCTCTGGAGGGAGGCATTTCCTCACCTGGTCCCTGGCTATAGCCTCTCCCCACTAGGCTGGGCTTCTAGGGCAGCAGCCCAGAGGGGCTGACACGGAGACAGGCAGGCGGAGGTTTCTGCTCCAGCTCTTAAGCTGAAGGGCAGACAGCGCACCCACTTAAGACCCAGCTGCTGCTCAAGAGCACTGCTTAGGCTCTGGGCGAAAGGCAGGCAGAGCGGCCTGGGGCCGCTCCCTGTGGCCCCCAGGGCCGATGGACCCGGCTTTTCCGCCCCTCTGCCTCTCGCCCGCCTCTTGGCTCCGCTCCTCAAGAGCTAGGCAGAGCCCCTCCTCGGCGGGCAGAAGGCAGCCGCACCAGTTGGACTGTGGTGGAGGGACCGGAGCCAGCTGCCTGTTCGTCCTCGGACTCGCCCTGACCGCTCCCACCCACCAGTGTGCCTGTTTCCCACACAGCCCCACGCCCGCTCATGTAACCTGCCTTTCTCAATAAACCCCCTGTCCCTGCCTCATGTGATTCTTCCCTGAAGGTTCCCCCCACTTCCCCGAGCTCTCTCCAGCCTGTGTGGCCTGAGAGGCGAAACCGTCTGTGGGGCTTTTGCCTGCCCCTTCCCTGGTCAAGGGTCAGGGCAGTGAGGGGGTCGTCACTAACCCTAGTCTCTCCCCACAGGCTGCCACCACGGCCCTGCACCCCCCGGCCGCCGACACCACTGCCGATCCAAAGCCAAGCGCTCCCGTCACCACCAGACCTCCCGGCCTGAAGTCCCTTGCTATGTCTCGCATCCCCCACCTGCACCACCCTGTGCCCCCTGGCCACCCCCACCAACTCCCACCCCCTTCTCCGCTGTGGTCCAGCCCTACCCCCTCTCAGTATTTCCCCCCACAGGTGGCCCTCAGCCTCTGGCCCCTGCCGCCACATCTGTGCCCCCGGCCGCTTTCCCTGGTTCCCTAGTGACCCCAGTGGTGGCCTTGGTGCTCCCTAATTATATGCTCCCCACTCCCTCCAGCTGTCCCTATGGGGTAACCCAGACCTCTGCGGAGGGGCCACCCACCCCTGCCTCCCCCTCCCCTTCTCCATCCCTGCCCCCACTGCCCTCCAGCCCTCCCCACCCTCCGGAGTCCCCGCTATTCAACTCAAGATGCAGCTCCCCGCTCCAGCTAAACTTGCTGCAGCTTGAAGAGCCCCCCCACATTGAGGGGTGTGCTGGGGCAGGGCCCTCTGGGAGCAGTACTGGGCCCCCCCCTCCCAATGAGGCAGCTTTGGAGCCAGAGGCCAGGCTGGTGAGCACTGCACCCTCTCCCCCCATGCTGCCCTCTAACTGCCTCCCACCCCGGGACCACTCTAACCCCTTGCCCCTTCAGTTCTTGTACCTGCCCGTCCCCCACCCTCCGCCCAAGCTGCTAGTTCAGTCTCCAGACTGGGAGCCGCCAGCTGGGCCACACTTGGCAGACATCAGCTGCCATCCCTGCGAAGGGGGGACCGTCCTATCGGTTTGACAGGTGGCAAGGACACCCTGCTAACTTCTGAGAGCCCTTCCGCCACTTGGGAAGGAAGGCTCTCGTGCCCTGCCCCTGCCCCTCTCCAGCTCCAGCTTTTTCACATGGTTGTGGGCTCTGGGGTACAGGGACCACTTGGGTTGGGTGGCCCAGCCCCAGTGGAAACAGTTGATGAGAAGCCTGGGGGTCGATCCCTTAATCTCTTCCTGTCACCTCCCCCCAGGTGGAGGTGCCTGCGTCCTCTAATCAGGATGCCATGTCCGGCTCCAGCGACCTGCTGGAGCTCCTGCTGCAAGAAGACTCCCGATCAGGCACGGGCTCCGCCGCCTCAGGCTCCTTGGACTCGGGTTCAGGCTCTGGGTCTGGCTCGGGCTCTCACGAGGGAGGCAGCATCTCGGCCAGCGTCACTCGTGAGTCCCGCTTACCCAGGCAGGCCCAGCAGACTGAGAGTTGAGGGGCTCAATGCCGCCTTGGCTGAGCACACTGAGGGGGAGGCCTTCCAGGACTCTGGGGCGGGCCCTCCTGACTCTGTGCATGGCATGCCTTCTCCTGACCCCGCACAGGCAGCAGTCAGAGCAGCCACACTAGCCAGTATTTCGGCAGCATTGACTCCTCTGAGGCTGAGGCCGGGATGGCCCGGGCCAGGGCTGAGCCCGGCGACCAGGTCATGAAGTACGTGCTCCAGGATCCCATCTGGCTGCTCATGGCCAATGCTGATCAGCGGGTCATGATGACCTACCAAGTGCCCTCCAGGTGAGGAGCTTCAGAGGCTCCCTCTGAGGGGTGGGCACAGCACACCCTCACCTCCCAGCTGACCTGGGGGCTGGCTCGAGAATGCCAGTCTGCTGGGTCCCGATCGCAGCTCTGGCTCCTAACCTCTGTCCCCTGCACCTCTTCCCTGGGCAGGGACATGGCCTCGGTGCTGAAGCAGGACCGAGAGCGGCTCCGGGCCATGCAGAAGCAGCAGCCACGCTTCTCGGAGGACCAGCGGAGGGAGCTAGGGGCTGTGCACTCCTGGGTCCGGAAGGGCCAGCTGCCTCGTGCCCTCGATGTGACGGTGAGGGAGAAAGCCAGGGCCAGGAGGGAGACAAGATCATTGAACTCAAGCTGAAGGCGTGTGGGCTGAGGACACACCCCCTGGGGCCCGTGGGTCATTCATTCTGAAGGGTACACCTTCCACTAAGCTTGCTGCTGCTCACTGTAGCGGTCACCCCCTACTGGTGCTGGCAGGACTTCACCACGCCCTGCCTGCGCTCATTGTGACTCTTCCCAGGGTGCTCTGGGGTCAGGGTACAAAGCAGTGTCTAGTCTTAGTGGATCCCATGGTCCTGTTGCTGAGGTGCCATTCTGTGGACTTGTATTTCTTGGGAGTATGTTTTGGGAACAACTTGGAAGGGAGGTGAAGCTGGGACCTGGTGAGGAGCCTTCCTGACGCCTGTCCCCTCTCTCCCTCCATAAGGCTTGCGTGGACTGCGGGAGCAGCACCCAAGACCCCGGCCACCCGAATGACACACTCTTTGCCGAGCTGGATGCACTGGGGCTGGAGCCCATGGAAGAAGGCGGAGGCGAGGGTGGTGGCGGCGGCAGTGAGGGCAGAGGGGGCGAGGGAGAGGGGCGAAGTGAGACTGGGGCCAGGGTCTCAAGCTCTCAGGACTTGGCCATGGAGGAAGAAGAACAAGGTGAGAGCCCATCCATTCGAGCCTTACCTGCCCCAGAAAATGGCACCAGCTAGATTCCATTTGGGGGCCACTCTAGAGACCCAAAGTTCTTAGGAACTCTGGTTCTCCATGGCCCGCTCTGAGAGCTCCTGTGGCTGGACCAACCAGCACAGGAAAGAGCCCTAGCTTTTCCTGCTGTTGGGGGCTGGACCCCCGTCACCAGCCCAGGCCTCATGGGGAACAGACTGCGGAGCTCAGCCCAGCCAGAAGAGCCTCACCCCCCTTCCGCTGGTGAGGAGGCCCCTCTCCAGGACACAGTTGCTGAAAGCTGCTGAAGTGGACCTTCCAAATCCCAGCTGAGCCCAAGCCCCGGTCTTGAGGGTTGGGGCTACCCTATTTATTGGGGGAGATGGCCCTCTCTCATCTCCTCCTCAGAAGCCAGGGGACAAGGGTCTGGCCCCAGCAGGACCGAGGGGTCTGGACCCCTAGCTGCTCCAGGGTTGGGGGTAGGTTGGTGGACCATGGAGTCCCTGGTGCTGCCCTCAGATGGGACCCATGTGTTCGCAGCTGTACCCTCTACCAATGGCATTTGTGTTTTTGATATTGTGTCTGTTATTTTTTAATATAAAGAGCAAACAAGCAAACCCGACTCTGTGGAATAAAGTTTGGGGCTTGGGTGAAGGGGACTGGGAAGGAAGTGTTTGCTGAGCGTGGGCAATTCCATGTCCTGATGGTCCCAGGCCTCTTACCACGCCCTCCTCAGCTGGAGGGCCTTGGCCGACCTGCTCGATAGATAGATCCGTCGCCTCACTCAAACCTACTCTCCCATCAAACATTTACACAGCCGGGATTGCCCTTTCAAGGAGCTAGGAAAACCAACTTGTCAAGGGTTTCTGTGAGCTCCAACCTTGGGCCAGGAGGGTGGGCCCTTTGTCCCGGGGAGTGCTGATGCAGTACAGGGGTTGTGCTTCACTGTCACACGAGGGGGCTCCACCGGCCAGCCTTGGCGTCCAAGGAACGAGGGATAGCGCACCTGCTCTAACCGAGTTGACCACCAAGGTGCAGAGGGAAAAGCAGAGCAGGTGGGCTCCGTCAGTGTTGGATTGGCAAAGGGGAACCTGCCTCAAACAACTCAGCGGTGTTTTAGCGGCGCCCATCAACAACTAGCTGATCTATCGCTAGACACGCACCCTATTACGTCGGCGCCGTGGCTTAGCTGGTTAAAGCGCCTGTCTAGTAAACAGGAGATCCTGGGTTCGAATCCCAGCGGTGCCTGAGTCCCTTGAGCGTGGTATATTATTGCTGCAGAGAGAACATATGTCCACTCCGGTAGATGCATTCTATCTATCGCGCCTAAGATTCTTCTTCTTACTAAATCAATCCCTCTATCGTCTTCCGCTCCGGTGCACTTTTAAAAGGGTTCTTGGAAGGCGAGGCAGTGTCGTGAGGTGGGCATCCCTTCGTCTGCCCACGGTATGGTCTCCTAGGTCCGGGTTCTTGCTCGTTTTGTTGGGCGCTTGCGGAGACTGCTCGCTGGGGTCCGGCAACGTGCGGGGCGCCGCCTGAGTGAGGCGCACGCGCACAGCGGTCGGGGCCGCGGGGGCGTGGCCGGCGGAGGGCGTGGCCGGCGGGGGGCGGGCACATTGATAGGCAGCTATAGTTGCGCGGGGCCAAGGCCGCACGCGGCTGTGATGGCCGAGTGGTTAAGGCGTTGGACTCGAAATCCAATGGGGTCTCCCCGCGCAGGTTCGAATCCTGCTCACAGCGTCCGTACTTTTGGGAAGGGATCTCACCTCCTTGAGGGAGGCGAGGGACGAGAACGCTTTTTTCCTCGTCCTGTCTTTCCTTGGAGAACCTCCCGTCTTTATTAAGACGCTCTCAGGGATCCAAATATTCCGAGTCTCCCGGGCCTGGCCCGCGAGCGCCCTCTCGCGGGCGTTTACACAGGGTGTCCTGCAAGCTTTCTTTCTTTTTTTAATTAATTCTTACCCCCGCCAAACTCGGGGTCCCTGAGTCCTGCTTGGCAATCGTTACATTGTTCCTCTTGAATCCATTCGCCTTCCTGTGCTTCCCGTTTTACGGACAAGATGAAGCGTTATGAAGGTGTATATTTGTCAAAACTTTGCTTTCCCAGCGGCTGAAGTGGAGAGCAAATGTTTTGAGAATGGTGAGGGCAACGAAAGTACAAATGTGCTTGACTCAATGGATGGATTGTGATAAGAGTTGTATGAGCCCCCAATAAAATGATTTAAAAAAGCAAAACTTTGCTTTCACAACCAGACCTTGGTTCAAGCCACCTGTCTCACCTAGATTATTGCACTGGCCCCTAAATTATTCCCTTGCTTTTAATCTTGTTCCCTTATAGCCTACTCTTAATACATGGGGGAGAATCATCCTTTTAAAACAGAGGTCTGTCAGTCCAGTGTTCAAAATCTCCTAATGGAGTACAGACACAAATTCGTGGTTTTTAAATGTGTATGCTGTTGGGTACTGTCAAGTCCATTTTTGACTCATTCATTCACCACGTGACAGAGTAGAACTGTCTCATGAATTTTCCAGATGTCTTCATGGGAACCACTGGATGGATTCAAACCTCTACTGTCAATGTGTGTGAGTGTGTGTGTGTTTCCTAGTTCTTTCCATTGAAAGAGGTTAGTAGTAAAGCACCCAGCGCTTGGTGGCTAACTACCACTCTCTACTAAAGGTCACTAGGGTTCCTGGAAGCAAAAGACTCATTTCAGAGCTGGGGCTGGGGGATTACAAGATGATCTCGGGACATTTTGCTGCAGCAGAAAGTAAAGCCCTGTTCTTACATATTCAGGAACAACACTTCCCTTGAAGCGGGGCTTGGCTCACAGCGGCTTAAGTGGAGAGGAAATGTTTTGAGAATGATGAGGGCAATGAATGTACAAATGTGCTTTACACAATTGATGTATGTATGGATTGTGATAAGAGTTGTATGAGCCCCTAATAAAATGATAATAAAGGCATCATTGTAATAATCAAGGAAATGTTAAATATGGACTGTGAATTAAAGGATGGTGTTAAAATATACACAACAAAAATGCTCATTTTAATCATTAAAATTTAAGGTGTTTTTTTTTTAATTGGGGGCTCTTAGAGCTTTTATACAATCCATACATATATCCATTGTGTCAAACACATCTGTACATGTTATCTTTTTAAAAACATTTTCTTTCTACTTGAGCCCCTTAAATCAGCTCATTTTCCCCCTCCCTCCCCACCCTTTCTCTCTGTTTTTATTGTAGCCATTTTTACTTGAATAAATCAGCGACTTAAAAAAAATTAAAAAAACAAAACAATAAACAAAACAAAACAAACAAACAAAAATCAGTGACTTAAAGTTGGCTGCACAAGCATCATTCCTATTTATTTCCAAGTCTTCTACCACTAGGCACTTCGTACCCTCCCAGCGGTTCTCAACCTTCCTAGTGCCGCGACCCTTTCGTACAGTTCATGTGGTGGTGACCCCCAACCATAACATTATTTTCTTTCGTTGCTACTAATAACTGTTATTTTGCTACTGTGATGAATCGGGCGACCCCCGTGAAAGGGTCATTCGACTCCCAAAGGGGTCACGACCCACAGGTTGAGGCCGCTGGTAAGCACTACTAGCTCACCATTTCCTCCCACCTCGGTCAATGGCAATCACTCATCCACTTGGTCTCTGCGCATGTATGTGCCCGCTCCAGATAGTTCATCTAAGTGGGTCCCTCTGGTTGGATGGTCTGGGAACTCTGGTGGGGAATGGGCATGTGTTGGAAAGTTTCTGCCCAGTGGGAGAAAGACCCAGCACAGGGGCAGCTCTACCCTGCCCTGTGGGGTCACTATGTGTCGGCGTTGGCTCCATGGCAATGAGTTTGGTTTTGAGGCTTTCTTTGGTCTGATGTCATAGGTTATACATGGGGCAGCTAACCACAAGGTCAGCAGTTCAAACCCACCAGCTTCGCCAATGGAGAAAGACTGAGGCTCTCCTGTAAAGACTCATAGCCTCAGAAACCCCCAAAGGGGCAGTTCTACTGTCTTCTACGGTTGATGGCAGCAAGTTCGCTTTTTGGTTTGGGGCTGACTTTTTTCACTCAACAGTGTATTTTCAAAGTGCATCCATGTGGCGGAACATCATTTCTCTTGACGGCTGAATTAAATTCCTCTGGACCATCCCCGGTTGATCCGTTCGTCTGTTGATGGACACGTAGGCTGTTCTGCATTTGGTCTTCTGCAAAAAACACTGCTGTCAAAGCACCTGTTTGAGATCTTGTGTTCAAGTCTCCCAGGTGTTTACACACCTGGGAGTCAACGTGCTGGGTCATATAGCAATTCTATGTTTAACTCTTTGAAAACAGTCAACTATTACCCACACAGCTACACTGTTTCACTCGCTCACCAGCAATGAGAAGCATATTCATCTTATTTCCTGGTTTTGATCATTGAGCAATAGTGTACCGTTACGTGACCCATGTCTTCGTTCTTAGGAAACATACCCTGACTAATTAGGAACGAGAGGGGTTAGCGTTTCCAAAGGATCCTCCAATGGTTCAGAAAACAAATATTTTCTGTCTTCATAATACTTGTGGAGAAATGATCAAGCAGGTGGAGGTAAATGTAAACAATTCCATGCGTTGGAGTGTTCTAGTTTTGAAACCTTGATGAAAGTTGGAAATCATCTGAAAAATAAAAAGTTAAAAGAACAAAACAAAAACTGAGGGAGGAAATCAACCCCCAGTGGGTTCTCATCTCACTCGGGGTACGATCCAACGGCCCAACCCCCTGCACCATCGACCTCCCTCTTTACCTCTCTAATCGCATCTTTGGCAGCTCGGCCCCTTGCTGTACTGACCTCCTTGCCCTCCTTGTTCCTCGGGTGAACCTGACCTCCTGCCACCCCAAGTTCCTCTGGCCAGAATGCTGTTCCCTCAGAGAGCCCCCATACTCCCTCAGTTCAAAAGTCTCACCTGATCATACTGTACTTGCATCCAACATTGCGATTCCGACTTCTGCTCCCTACTTCCTCTTTCTGCTTTGTTACTATACCACTCATTGCTAGCTGACAAATGGCGTTCATATAATATTCCCCCCCAAGGGTGGGAGAATCGAGGCACTATATACCCAGGCCTGGTCATGGAGCCTGGTTCCCAGGATGCACCCTAGGCAGATACCCTGGAGACTCCATGGAGCGGGAGACCAACAGGGCAGCACTGGTCCCAAACAGAAGTCAGAAGACAGGCCAGTGGGAAGTGGGGAGGGGCCCCAGGTAAGAAGGACTAGTGGAAGGGGAGAACCCAGGGGGGAACCGGCAGAATGGTGCTACGTTGACAGACGCAACCGCTGTCGTGAAACAAAATGTGTCTTCATTGCTGAATGGAAAAGGAACCTGGAGTTTCATCTAAAGGACTCTGGAAAGTTAAAAGGGGGACCCAGCACAAATACACAGCCCACCCCCAGGGGGGCGGATAACAGAACTGTGGATGAAGGGAGACAAAGGGCAGCGTGTAAGACATGAAATAACAACCATAATATATCATTGATCAAGGGTTCACGAGGGCGGGAGGTGGGGAGCAGGGGAAAAAGGAGGAGCTGATACCAAGGGCTCAAGCAGAAAGAAAATGTTTTGGAAACATTGATA